CCAGGTCCTAGAGACTATACACTGCTAAGGGATATCTGAGACATCACCAAAGTGGAGAGTTGTTGTTGAACACCCAGGGCTTCTAGTAAGAACCCAGAAGGAAAAACTAGCCATAGTAATGGCCACTTTACACTCCCTATGACCAAAGTTAAAAACAAACTGCAAAAGGGCCAAGCTGATTCTTTAGTAACTTAATGGCCTACCTAAATAACATTTACTAGATTAGAGCACAGATTCCAGATATTAAACAATGTAAAAGTCAGTAGGCTCAAAATACAACCAATAAATAACTAGACATGTAAAGAAGCAGGAAAATGTGACCTATAAACTGGAAAAAATAAAGCTCAGGAATGTGAGGCAATAGGATTAGTAGACAAGGGCTTTAAAATAATACAACATTGAAAAAGACATACAAAGATAGAGGAATCTCAACACATGATTTCAAGATTTACTCTGAAGCTACAGTATGCACTTCAGTGGAACTGACATGAGGCTAGATAGATATAGGTCGATAAAACCGAACTGAGAATTTAGCAAATGCCCAAATACAACAGTCAATTGATTTTAGAAGCAGGTGCTAAGATAAATAATTGGAGAAGAGATACTCTTTGGGGCACATGGTGGTTGAGAAATGTGTTTCTGTATGGTGAAAGAATCACCTTTGATCCTTATACTTACACACCCGAATACTTCCAGATTAAAACACGGGAAAAACCCTCCTAACTTCCTTGAGGCATCTTTCTTAAACAGAACACCAAAAACACAACCACAAACGTTAAATTGATAGATTGGATTTCATTAATATTAAACACCTATGTTATTTGAAAGACACCATTAATTAAATAAAATGTCATAAATTATATATATATATTGTATTAAAATACATATAAAGGCCATTTCAAACTAAATACTGAGGGAACAAGCTATTTAATTTAAAAATAGGCAAAATAATAAGCAGCTTCCAAAATAAGATAAATGAAATGGTCCATATGCTGATGTAATGGGCACATATGAAGTAAAAACAAAATGAGGTACACCACACACCTATTAGACTAAATAAAATTGAAGAGATTTAGCAAAGATGTGGTCAAATGAAACTCTTGAAAGTTTCTGGCAAAAGTATAAAATAACATGACGGTTTGGACAACATTTTGGCCTTTTCTTATAAGGTTAATCATGCATAAACTTATTCCATTCAATGATTCCACTTGAAAGCATTTACCAAGAATTTTATTTTCAAAAACAGGTCTACAAAAAGACTGGTACACAAATGTACACAGCAACTTTATTCATAATAGCCACAAACTAAAAACTGTTTAAATATTTATACTAATAAATGAATGAAAAACTAAGGATGACATATATAATAAAATATCCCTCAGCATCAAAAATAAATTACTGACAGACACAACATAGATGAGTATCACAAACTATAGAATGAGTAAAATACACAGGACATAAAATTGTACATACTGCATAATTTATATGAAGTGAAAGAAAGGGGGAAACTAACCTATAGAAGACAGAAAGTTTACCAGTAATTTTTTGAACCAGGTGTGGAATAGAAAAATTAATTATAAAGAGACATGAGGAAACATTTTGGATGATGTCAATATTATATATGTTAATTGTGATTTCATCGGTTTCAATGGTCAGTATTCACTGAACAGTACACATAAGATGAGTGTACTTTATTATTAGTATATTATGCCTCAATAAGTTGTTCAAAATAAATAAATTAGAATAATCTTTCTCTTTTCCTGTGTTAAGGGAAAAAAAGTGTAAATCAAAAGAATGATTTATTTCTTGAAAGCGCGAAAAAATCACTGTGGAAAACATGGGCTTAGGCAACGCTGTTGGAGTAGCTACATTTTTTATTATTCAATTTTTTATAATAGATATATTTCCTCCTTCAAAAATACTTGGTAAATTTATATTTTTTAGAAAATTATCTATTACTATATCACTTCCTTTATTTTGTAAGTTAACATAAAAAGACGTATCCTTAAAAATCTTTCTTTAGTTGTTTCCTTCCCTACCCCCTTCGTTTTTGCATTCTCAATAAGCCAGACCCATAGTCGCTGTTCTTTACATGACCATAACCACTACACTCTCCAACTGCTTTTTCATACTTTCCAGTTGGTTTCTCCAAACCTACAAGCCCTAAAACTGCCTAAAGTTCTTCCTTAATCATTACAACCCCATCAAGGATCTATCTGTCCACAAGGATGCAAATAGGCCTGCAATCACTACATGGCTATTTATATCTCCATGTTAATAATTTATGACGTAATCAAAGAATCTTTCCAAATAGACCAGCATAAACTCCTACTCAGATTGATTATGAGTTAAGGCTGATACCAGGCATCATTGAAGAAAGGCCTTGAGCGTCGAGGTGATTTTCTCTACGTACACGATAGAACCCCTGTATTCGGTTTCTTCAGTTAAGCATTTACGAGAGGAAGGCATGTGGTAAAAAACACAGCCAAGTCAGAATGAACGGAAGAACAGAAAAGAGCAGGTTTAGAGGGACGACAGAGAGAACAGATGTGACCTGTTTCTTCCGACGGGAGACAACAGTGATTCCCTCTTGTGACACAGCCTTTCTTATACTCACATGAGCAGCATTGTTTGAAGATGGCTTTTAGATGAAGGCAGAGAACCTTAGACATAATGAACCCTTGTGGTTGAACCAGGATTAGATACTGACATTTCAACATAAAGCTGTTACAAGATATTCTCCCCATGAAAATCTTTTTAGGCAAGAATTTTAACTCAATCAAGGTTCCTCTTTATTCTCTGCTTTGCTTCAGTGTTTAAAAATGTGGACGAAAGGTATCTTTCTCCTGATTTTATATCTATCTCTCTATATATCTATCTATCTATCTATCTATCTATCTATCTATCTATCTATGTATAGATAGATAGATATGAATTACAAAATATGTAAAATACTCCAGTTTCTGATTACAACTGTGCTGCCTTAGAAGACACACGAAAAGCTGTATAGTCTGTCTCATGATTCTGTTCTACCTTTATTTCTTTTTCTGCTTCAAAGAGATGGCCTATAAAAATATTTCAGTAATTATAATATTTACAATTAAATCAATACCTTGAGATTCTGACCTTTAATTCTTTAACATTTAAACTTTTTTCATGGGGACATTTTTTTGAAAAGTAGTGAATAGATACATTATAATATCAAGAGACCTTTTTTTACATGAACTAAAAATACATCAATGATAGACTTATTTAGGTCACATAAAACTTATTTCTAATGTTAGAAATGGTTATATATTTGGAAGTTTTTCACAGGGAGTTTCTTTACCTGGTAGTGGTTTAAAGTATTACACATTTCTATATTTGTGACATGGGTTAATGACAATGCTTAGGAGCAAAACAATGAGCTGTATGGTCTATATTATCCAAACTTACCATTCTCACTCTTGTCTCGATTACAATGTTAGCTTCGCTTATGGATAAGTTCTTGCCATTATTTATTTAATATTAAGATCAATAAATACCAATTATGGTATATATCTAAAAGATATTGTACAGGCTTCATACCAGACTTAATCTGCCGAGATTCGTAGAGTTTGCAGAGATCAACTAATCGCACATTAGTCTTGGTTTATATGTTACCTATTTTGTGACTCAGAATAACTTGATATAATAACTTGTGTCAGTTTGTGGATCTTCACAGGTGCAATTTAATGTGCTTTAAAATATAGACTGATTATTCTAATATGACAATAGAAATCTGTCAGTCAACATATAAAATATTTTCAATGAATTGATATTTAAGAGAATAAATAATGTTTTTGTTTCTTTAATTTGGAGTCATTTAACCCACATTGTCACCAGTGCAGTTTTGGGTAGCAATTGATACACTGCCAGTGAAACCAACAATTAAGCAGTTTTGTTATAGATTCAGTGAACATGTATAATCAGTATAAAATGTCAAGGAAGAATATCACTGTTCTTTTTCATATGTAGTTTTTGTTATAGTCACCTTGTTATTATCATTTATGTTTCTCTTCCTTTGTTTTGTGGATTCAAGTTACTCCCTGGAGTTGTTCCCTTCGCTCAATATTTGCTCTCAACCACTATATTTTGCTGCTACTATTATTGGCAAATATATTACATTTCTTCATGATACAGGCTCAAAAAAAAAATTAATCACATATTGTTTTATTCAAATGGTTTTAAAATCAATTAATAGAACTAAGGAAGAATATATGGTTTCATACTGCTTTTTGTAATTACACAATTACATTTACTGGAGCTATTAGTTTTCCCACGTGTGTTTGAAATACCAGCTGAGGTCACTTACTTTCAGCTTGAAGAATTTCCTTCAATATTTCTTTTAAGGTAGGTAGGTTAGCTAGGAACAAATCTTGATTTTGTTGTTCTTTGAGCAGTTTTAGTAGGTTAACCAACTGCTTTCTGGCCTTACTTTTTATGATGAGGAGTCCATTCATTTTATGGTACCCTCGTAACTGATGAGTAATTTTTCTCTTACTGCCTTCAAGATTTTCTCTTTGTCTTCGGCTTTTAGTATTTTTACTATGATGTGTCTGTTTATGGCACTCTTTTCATGTATCTTTTTTAGAGTTCATCTGCCTTCCTGGATTTGTAGATTATTGTTTTACAATAAATTATTGAAGTTTCACCCACTGTGTCCTTAAAATTGTTTTCTGTTTCTTTCTCTCTGTTTCCTCTACTTCTGGCACTCCCAAGATGCATGTATTGGTGTGGTATTTACATTTTTCTGAAGCTTTATTTTTATTTTGTTTTATTTATACGCCTGCGCTGGGAACTGAGTGGCGGTGGGGGAGGGGCAGTCATATCAGACCTCCGCCTGTCTCCTGAGCATGGAACCACTGCCTCACGGGCTTGCGAAGGGTGACTGGGCACCAGATTCTCAGGGGCACCAAACACAAAATAAACCTCCTTCCACCAGTGGGGCCAAACAATAAAGGGGCAGGCCTTACCTCTTTCCTAGGACTTGGCTCAGCTGCTTCGAAGGAAGGATGAGATATGCTGACATCCTGCTTGTCTAGGGAAGGTATTCCTCCAATGGGGATGGGAATGGAGGGAATCCTGTGTTCTTGACTGCATTAATCACCAGGAGAGTTTCCGTATGGCTGAGCTGAGGAAAGGGAATATTAGTTCAAATAACATAGCCTCTCACTATTATTACTGAATGTTAACAGATTTTTTAAAAATAGATATTTCTTTACTGGCTATATATTGTTACCACTCTATCCAAAAACTTTAAATGGTTGTGTTTTGTTTTGTTTTGAATATGTGTGTGTGTGTGTGTGTGTGTGTGTGTGTGTTTTATTCTGCTGAGAAATGGGTCCACAGAGCTCCTCATGCTATTATGCCAGTGACTTTTTAAATAATACATTTTCTTTCTTTATCTTTTTTCGAACAATTGTCCCATGTGTCTCTTTAATTTTGTCTTTTTAAAAATATTGGATAAGAGTTGTTTCTTATCAGTCATACAAATACATTATTAATTCCATCTTCTTTATATTTGGAGTCACATATTATATAATTATATTAATCAAGAACATTAAATAGCTTTATAAATTAATGTTAGCATAACCACTAAAAAATGAATGGTTAAAATGCAGTAATCTTCCCGTTTTAGAGGCAAATATGTTTCTAATAAATGTTTAATGGTCTTCATTAAGCTTTTTTAGGACATAAAAATCATCTAAAATTGCTCCAATAATCAGTCTTCTTAACAACAGAGTGAACACAAGTAAAATTGATCACTTGCCCAGAATAAAAAAATGTGGCTTTCAATGTTTTGATGACTCTCACTAAACACAGAAACCATAATCATATACACTTTTTATGTGTAGAACAATAATCTCAAGAGAATATCAATTCTTGAATACTCTTCTTCTTTTAGACAATATCGTATCAAGCACTAGATGATATATTTCAGCTCAAGGATACATGGAGAATCAACACACTAGAAACATGCTCTGTTGTTGTTTTTCCTGCAGCTAACATACCATAAAAAGTACAGAAGTAAAATAACAATCTAAGCTGGTATTGTTAGTATGGTAGTCACTTGCATGACTACGGCCTTTTGAAAGATTGACATATTTTGATCATGTTAATCAGAAAATACATTGTCAATGGACTTTTAGAAAGGTTAGAAATAGAATTTTGGATTCCTCTGTTCTTTTTTTCATTTGTTTGTTTTACCAAATTATAGAAGGACAAAGCCACTTATGACTTATTTCAGAGTTTTAAAATTATTTTTGGGACATCTGAGTTGCAGATTGTCTATTATCATGGAACTTAACTGAGGCTGGTATTGCAAAAATGGTTTTGTATTTCATGTAGAAAAAGAGATAAAGTTTCAGTCAAAAGTTGATATTGGCTATCTATTTCCTGAAGCAAAATGAATTGCAAAATCTCTCTTTGCTTAAACTGAACCAATGCCAATTAATCGAAATAGCAATAATGGAAGTTCATATTAGTTTTGAGGTAATTAGCCAAGGTAATTCAGAAGAAAATATCAAAAGTTCAATGGATGCTGATAACATTCCTTCACTAATGACTTAGATGTGCACTGATGATTCTCAGGGAAATGGTGCAGAGTTATCTGAACCTATAATATAGCATATAAAATATTATTCTATATATCTCCCAACTTTACTTTCTATTGGGGTGTTTCTGAGTCTTTGCACTTTTTTGGATATTAAAATTTTATTCATCTGAAATATCTGAGCATCCTAAGACATGTTTTAGTCTCCGTTGGAAACATTTGTTATTTATAGCATCTTACTTATGACCTTTAAAAATTGAAATAATTGTCTTCAGAAATTCTTCTTTCTAGTTGCTAAAAGCCTAGAGTTTTACCCCCTATCATGCTCAAATTAACCATCTCTTGAAAACCAGGTAATGATTTTTTAAATGTGCAATTTAAAATTTCAAACCATATTACCATTTTCCTCCCAGAAGCTTCACTGTCAGTGACTTAGTAAAACCATCATTAATCACAAGATAAGCTACAGTCATGTGGTGATTGTAATTTGGTCCCACGGAACCAAAGACAAATGATATGGAATACTATTAGCAATGATAGCTTTAATGTAGACATTCATCATGGACTCAGGTTCACTTGATGTGACTTTGGGATAAAAACAAGGGAAATTGCCTAGCTGTTGAAAATTCTATTGCTATTAAATCATAATTTTGACAAAATTGTACAAAATAAGAGTTAGAGATTTTGTTTCCCATTTTTCACTCTTAAAGAGACTTGCTGGGGGCTTTGAATAACCCAGATGTAGTACAATTACAATAGTGAATACTGATTAGTTGTTATCTATCCAATTGCTAATAACAGAATCTCAGGTTTGGGGAAGCTATCTATTTATAAGAATGGCAAGGTGGCTCCAGAACAGGTAGGCTGCTAACAGAGGCTAAGGACACACACACACACACACACACACACACACAGATTTTTTCATCAGTCTAATATTTCGTTGGTCATAGATTTTTTTCAATACACTGACTATAATCTTCTAAAGCAATGCAATACAATTTTTAGGAAGAGATCCTTGATAACTAATTAAACTCAAGTACTATTCAGTGTCACATTTAAGGAGGTATTTACATTTGCAAGGACTTATAGATTTTTTTTTTCTTTATTAATATTTAGAGAGAGAGGAAGGGAGATAGAGAGAGAGATAGAAACATCGATGAGAGAGAACATCGAATGACCACCTCCTGCATGCCCCCCACTGGGGATTTGGCCAGAATCAAACTGATAACCTCTTGGTGCATGAGTTGAGCTCAACCACTGAGCCACACCGGCTGGGCCCTACAGAATTATTTTAAAATACTTTCTATGTAGGGAATCCATGATGGGAACTGAATGCAGTATCAAAAGTTTTATTATAATTCACAACTAGGCATAAATATTGACTATGGACTATAGCATTCTCCTAAAGAATATATGAGTTGAGCTTTAATTCATGTGGAAAACATAAACCGAGGCTGCTATTTTAAAATAAATTCAGGCAATATTATTGTATACTTTATTTTAATATTTTATTTACTTTTATTGTTTCTTCCACCCAGACCTATCTGTGTAGCTGTTTCAACTACATGTGTCTCTGCCCCTATAAATTTAGTGATTTTTTCCCCCTGTGTTCTTCAGCTGAGTTATCCAATCACACTCTATGATCTCAGAGATTGAAATTAATTCTGTGTCCCAGCTGGAGTAGATGGGCTGTTAAACCACAAGATCTCTGTAGTGTCAGAGTTGAGATACGGTCCACCAGATCTCTGATCTTTGAGGTCTGAATTCAGTGAGAGAAATAAAAATGGCATCAACACATATTTCCTTAAATATTTTAAAATATGTATACTTTTTGGTTGAGAAAATGTCTCAACATTTCAGTTGTGTTGATGTTATACAGAAATATATAATATATATAATCTTTAATTTTCTTTTTTTTTATCCTCACCCGAGGACATTTTTCCATTTTTTGTTCAGGTAGAGTGGGGGGGAGAGAGAGGAACAGAGAGAGAGAGAAACATCGATGTGAAAGGGACACATCGAGTGGCTGCCACCCGCACAACCGACCAGGGCCGGGGACAAACTGCAACCGAGGTACATGCCCTTAGCGGGAACCGAACCCGGGTCTCTCCAGACCGCAGGCCGACGCTCTAACCGCTGAGCCAAACGGGCCAGGGTTATAATCTTTAATTTTCTATGGATCTATATATATTGAGTTTAGTTTGTTTCTATACTTTGGCTGCTGATTTCTTTGGTTGGAGGGAATATTTTCTAGCTCTTGGGCACCTTGAAAAGCAAATGCTGCATCTTGCAATTGTCCCTAGGATCAAGTTCCTAGCATCACGAGATGGTGGTTTCAAACATCTAGATTACAAAAAATAAATAAATCAATAAACAAATGAGCTTTTTATAAATTGTTGAAAAACCCTTTTATGGCAAAAGAAAATTGATATTCAAGTTGCATAACTTAAAAGTCCCTTAGCAAATCTGGCTGCTCCAGAAACATAAAAGATTAGTTCCTACAACCCAGAAGGGTCTAGTGGTAAGTGTAACAGTTTGGAGTCTATCTGCAGACTGGTTGCAGACGTGCTATATTTTGTGAACGAGGCAGCATATTTAATTCGTAGAACATAGTAATGACCACTGCATCATTTTGCTAGGGCTGCCATAACAAAATACCACACACTGGGTGGCATAAACAACAGATGTTTTTTTCTCACAGTTCTGGACACTAAAAGTCCAAAGTCAAGGTGTCAGCAGGGTTTGTTTCTTTGGATGGCTCTCTCCATGGCTTGCAGGTGGCCAGCTTCCTACTGTGTCCTCATATGGATTCTCCTCTGTGTGCGTGTATGTATTCTGGTGTCTTGTCTGTGCAAGAGCACCACTGTGTTTCTCTGTGAACCCACATTTCCTCTTCTTGAAGTTACCAGTCAAATTGGACTGGGGCCTCCCCTAATGACCTCATTTTAACCTATCACCTTTTTCTGAAGTCCCTATCTCCAAATACAATTGCATTCTGAGATACTAGGGTTTAGGGTTTCAATATATAATTTGAGGAGTGGGCACAATTCAGCTTATAAGAAGCACCTCAATGTAGCACTAAGGTTCTAGCACTGAAGTAGACAAAATCTCTGTCATTTTAGAGCTTATATTCTTCTTCTCAATATCTCTAAATACTCAATTTCCTCATCTGTACAATCTTAAAGGTTATTGCTGGCACAGTGGAGAGCGATTAAGATAGTTCCTAGCCCACAGCAAGTCTCAACAAATCGGCATGAGACTTGTGATAATGAGGCCTGTTGATAAGCTTGAGCAAGTCAGGGTTAGACATCATCACACATCCTCTCCCACAATTTACATGAGGTGGTTTCCTTCAGGCAAGGCCAAGGTCTCTGTCCAAGTGCTTCATTCATAGGACGTGCACAGCATCTGACAAAATCTTTCTAAATTGTTTGCCTTTACTATTAATATAACTATAGGAGTCACTGACTTCCTGTAAATTATATAAAAAATTGCTTCTGATAAGATATTTAAATTCTCCTTTGTTACTTCTTGAAGAAAGTTTAACTTTCTAGTTGTTTATGTTTAGTTCAGTATAT